TTATTACATGTTTTACAGACTTAAGTTTAACTAGATGTAGTATATAGACTTACCATATCATATATCTTTTTAAAATTTTTGATATATTAAGAAGCTTTTCATTATTATATTCAAAATAATATTATTTATTTGCAGATGATAACTACGCTAACAAATTTTTTAAAATTTTATTATTATAAAACATATATTTTTCGTTTGTTATATTCGACAAATTCATATAAATCTAAAATTTATTTGATTTATCGCATGCTCTATAATTTTAACAAATAATAAAAATCAATTTTACACTTCAAATAAATTGAAATAATTTCATTTGCATTAGTTTTAATATTTTTTATGCAAAATTGATCAAAGTATATAACCTCAAAATAAGTTTGATCAAAATTTAACTTTATTACATTTATGCACAATACATATCATTTTGTACGTTTATAAAGGTTGATAATACACGTCTAAATATTAAGATCGATTAGAAAATATATTTAAATATTTAATCTGACGTTTGGCGTAGATCAAAATGTAATTAGATCAAATTCGCTAGATCAAGTCTTGCACATAGTAATGTAAGATATATGAACTATGTTTACAAAAATAAAACTGTTACGCCACTATTTATGGAACAATCCACTAGCATTGACTCAATCTTTCTTGGTTGCAACGTGATTTTGCATCTTGATTGAAGATAAAACTCTGTGCCTATTGCACAATCCACTTACATTACTCTTGGTTGCAACCCGAATGATTCACGAAGTTATGTCCAGAATTTGGCAATACTGTAAACTTTGTGCCACGACCACGACCTTGAGCATTAGGTGACCTATGTCAATTTTCCAAAATTCCAATTTGTAGTGAATGGAAAAATCATAAATAAGTTGTTTCATTTATTGCGTAGTTTTTTTTAATTAGAATTATTGTGTTTTAAACAAGTATCGTTTGATATTATTGTAAGGCTACACTCGGGTATGTTGTTTATATATTTGTTTGATATTTTGGTTTGAATAAAATTGTGTCATAATAGTGTTTGTGATTTTGTGGATTGAAAAAAAAGGT